GTACCTGTTATTGTTGGCTCTCAGTTGTTGGCTAAGGCTGTGAGTAAATATTGTGAGCAAAATGTCTAGCAGAATGATGCACAAGATGTTAGCAAAGATGTAAACAGAATTGTAAGCAATACTTAAGACTAAAGATAGCACAGTAGCTCTTATGGGAAAAAAAGTATTTAAAGCCTGAGTTTCCACCTTAATTAAGTTTCTGCAGACTACAAGTCTCAGCCTACGATGTCTTAGTTATAGGGTTTATACTAAGAATCGGATTCTCACAGTGTTGTATTTATGTAGTATTAAATTATTAGTTTAGTTTATTTCTTTTACTATTGTATTCATTTTTTCTTTTATTATCTTGCATTCTTATTTTGTTACATAATAAATTACCCCGATAATTGAATTTGATCTATTAAGTGATAACTCGACTAGTTTCGTGACATCATATCACGTGTACCAGTATTATAAATCCCAACATAAGTGAATCATCGGAGCTCAATTGGATTAATATCTGCAATTGCTCTCCCAACCGATGGTCACAATACCAAAAAATTACCGCATGTAAAAAAGAATTAAACCACTTGAATCTAAAAATTTTCTGTTAGTATTATTCTTTTAATGATTTATTGTATCAATAGGGTATGCATGACAGAATAGAGTTCTGATCCATTATCCGTTTATCTATTTATCTATTAGATATCCAGATCTGAATTTATTTGGATATCTATTTTACTATTGATATCCGGATAATTATCTGAATACTTGTTGGATAATCCGGATATCAATAGTAAATAGATATCTGAATAAATTCAGATATGGATAAATGGATAGCAGATTTATCTGGATTGGACCTCTATGACAGAATCTATTATAACTTTTTGAATGTCTTTTTGCAATTACGAAGTTTCATTAACTTATCTAATTACTTTCTATAATTATTAAGTTTGAATAACACCAAGAAAAATTCGAATTACAGATTTTTCATTCAAGGTCAACAGATTGAAAAGTGTGCTAAGCAGGGATATGCTAAAAAAAACCCTGTCAGGTCATGTAGACCAGACCGGTATCCTAAACCAGTCTAGTAGTTGATTTAGTAAAATCAGGCAAACGGATAAGCTAGTGACGCATGAAGAAGCATATGCTTTTATCAGATAAGTATTATTTAATCTGCTCAATTTGGGAATTGTTAGATAATAACTTCATTGTTAAACTGTAAATATAACGATTAGTTACTACAGTCAGATAGCATCCCACCAAGTGAGATTCGCACCTATCCCTCCTATCAAATCTCATGTCAGTCGGGCTGCTTTATGCAGTGTGGAAAACCACTGACACTACATGTCATGAATGACAGTGATACCTGGAATATCGACCTATATTAATGCTTTGATTACAACATTGAATTGAATAAATAGAACATTTTGGTAAAAATAAAATCAAAAAGTAATTCTTTGATGTTGATAATATAAAACCAAATTCCGAACTATCAAAAAATCTGGATTATATGTACTGAAGCAAACTTATCAATATGCAGAAGATCTCAAAAGCGTTAAATAATGAGCTAGTGCAATTTTGATTGCTATTTCTGGAAGCATCTCTTGTTCTCAGCTTGTACATCAATCCCTGCATACTCCCAATAAAGTTAATCGCACTAATATATGCTGCATACTATCAACAAATAATCACTTTTCAAGTTCAACATCTGGCATCATTAGCTAGAAGCCAGGCGGAATCCTGCCATTTTGTCATAGCTTTAAACCTCATCAAGTTAGGCTGTTTGATGCAGTGTGAAAAACTACCGACTGATGCTACGCATCGCGAACTCAGTACATCAATCGCTCTGATGTATGCTGCATATTTTCAATACATCTGGCACTGTGGGCCAGTTGTTTGATGATAAATATATCATGTGCGTGCAATACTTTTCAAGATTTAAGCTAGGTAAATGACAGATTCAACCGCACTCATAATAACGATTGATTAATATTCGGATTATTGATTCGTTTCAGTATGTTAGTTACTATGCTTTTATTTTTCTTGATGATTATATTCTTTCTATATATTAATAAAGAATAGATTAAAAACTTTTGCAAATACTGTATTTTCGCTAAATAACACCTACCTGCATGTTATTTTGAGTATACCCGCATTAATTAGAGTATGTACATAACGATTAGTTATAGACATTGTTTAACGCCCATGCCCGTTATTTTATGAAAATACGGTAACTAGTATGACAAAGAAATGAATAAATCTTGATACTCACTGGTTTTGATAAATTATCTGCTAACTATATTCTTGAATTATTGATTGATTGAAACACCTTCTTAATTATGCAAAGGCATAATATAGAAATAATCTGCATTAGCCTTAATAGACTGCTTTTTCTGTATTGAAATACAAGTTAGACTTTGATAACTTTTAATAATGTAAAGTTTGCTTAACGTATATAAAAAGAGTATGCTTGCGCAAACCCTAATTATAGATCATTTGGTCTTTAGTTATTGCGATTGTGTACAATGTCCAATCAACCTAAAAAAACGCGTACAGCAATTAGTGAAATCTTAAAAAAAGAAATTTGTATATATCATACAAAAAATCCTAATAAAACACAAACACAAATTGCTGAATATTTTAATGCACAAGACCCAAATTGGAATCTCGACCGTTCAACGATTTCTAAAATTCTCAAAGAAAAAGATAAATGGATGGCCGTTGTTAAAAACCAAATAACTTCTAGTACTTTTCGACATAGGAAAGTAAAATTTCCATTGTTGGATCAAGCCATGAAGCTATGGGTCGAACAAATTATTAATAGCGAGTTATTCCTGACTGAAGCAATTATCAAGGAAAAAGCTGCTTACTTTGTTAAAGCACTTTCACTACCTGAAAATGAAATAAAATTTTCTAATGGCTGGATAAGGCAATTTAAAAAAAGAAATAATTTGCGAAATTTTCAATTACATGGAGAAGCAGGTAGTGTATCAATAAATGATCTTCCAGAGTTCAGGCGCAATTTGCAAAATGTTATCCGAGAATATGAATTAAACGACGTTTTTAATGCTGATGAAACGGGATTGTTTTTTCGCATGGCACCCAATCAAACATTGGCATCCAAATCCCGTTCTGGATGGAAAAAGGAAAGTAATTTTATTAATTAATACAAATATAAATAGTTAAATAATCAATAATATTTATATTATGTCTAAATTATGTTTAAATTAAAATCTTTTTATTAATTTGTTAATCTAGGATCGTACTCGCATTACTATTCTTTTAGCAAGCAATGCAACTGGCAATGAAAAATTAAAGCCACTTGTGATAGGATCTTCAATTGAACCACGAGCATTATCTGGCATAAATCATGCTACACTGCCTGTTATATATCGTGCTAATTTGAAAGCATGGATGCGAAGTGAAATATTTTTAGAGTGGTTGAAAGATCTTGACTACCAATTCCGACTAGAGAATCGAAAGATTTTACTTTTACTTGATAATGCAACAAGTCACTTTAATCCAAATTCAGAAGAAGAGTCTGTTCTTGAAGAGTCACATGAAAATGAAAGTGGTGGTCGTGGTCACAGTCGAGGTCACAGTCGAGGTCGCAGTCAAGGTCGCAGTCAAGGTCACAATCGTAGCTATGATCATAATTCTAGTAATAATACTGTTCAAAATAACACACGAAGTAGTCAAAGTAAAGGCAAACGTGGTCGAAGCCGAGCAAGTGTTTATACACTTCCTGATCTGTCTAATTACCAACTTACAAATATTAAAATTAAGTTTTTACCTGCCCTTACTACCTCGCATCTTCAACCTATGGATGCGGGGATAATTAAATGCTTTAAGTCAAAATATCAAAAAAAATATGTTCAACATATCTTAGATCAATTTGAAAGTGGAATAGATATTCGGGATCCTAAGTAAGTATATTATACAGTATGTGGGCTAGGTGCTGAAAAAAGGGACCAAATCAACTATTCTTTTAAAAAAAAATTTTGAGCTTAATAAATCTGGAATTAACTCAGAATTATTTAAATGCTATATACTGTATAAAGATCAATTTTTCACAAAGCTTATTTTTTGTTAATTTGGTTCTTTTATATATGAATCCGTTTTACTTTTACCAATAGTCATTTCACCAATTTCACATTTAGTTGACATTATACTAAGGCCGTGCAAACAAATAAAATTGGTTCTTGTAACCCGGCTGGGTAACTTTTTTAAAAAATTTTTTTTTTATATTAGTGTATATAAATATAATATTTTTCGCCGGCTAGCCGGTCTCATTTGTCTGTTCTGTGTTACAAGAACAAATTAATTTACTTTGCATGGCCTAAGTATTAATTTACTAAAATATACCTGTACTATATGTCGGCTAAATGAACTTTTAGCAAATTGGTGAGCAGTACCCATATTATATAAGCTAAATTGTTTATTTTTCTATAAGGAATAAATTAAATATCAAAGAAGCCATTGATTATGTGGCAGCTTCCTGGGATGAAGTAGACGAGTTAACAATAGCAAATTGTTGGACGAAGACCGGTATTTTACCCTCAGTATCGAGTATTGATGTTGATATTGCGCAAGATATGCATTTAGAATTAATTGAGCATGAAAAAAGTGAAATATCCGAATTGGTGATTGATCTTAGTAATTCAGCTGTTCAACAAGAAATAGAAGCTTACAGAAATGTTAATGATACACATATTCCTACGGAAGAAGCACTTAATGATGATCAGATTGTTGAAACTGTGTTAGCGGAGCAATTAGAAAATGAGCAAGGTGATCCAGACGATTCTGATGAAGAACCACCAAAGATTTCTGCTTTCGAAGGATTAGCCGGATTGAAAAATTTTATCTTATTTGCTGAACAACAAATGTGTGATAATTTTTTTCTTAATGACGATGACTTAAAAGTTTTCCGCAAATACTTACCATTAATGAAACGAAAGGCTACTGAGTCTATGAAACAGAAGTCTATCATAGATTTTTTCGGATCAGCAAACCAAAGTATGCCGATTAATAACAATGATCCTGATAATAATTATTTTTTTGATGACAACGGCCTTCCTAATGATGATTATTTTTCGGGTGACAACGACTTTCCTGATGATTATTTTTCTGATAATAACTATTTTTCTGACTATGAAGGGTTTTCTGATAACTATCATAGTTCTCCCGATGATATGATAACTAACTAGGTTATTAAATTTCTGTCAAAAGATATGTAATTGTCATTTTTAGGTTCAAATAATTATTATAAATTACTATCTATTGTACAAAGAATAAATGCATACTTAAAATAAAATAAATTAGAATATGCGCATTTAAATAATTATATATATCGCATATATATACAGTAGTAACAATAAAATACAGTTCATATTGTGAAGTAAGGCGCATTGAGATGACCTTTCGAATGCGGGTGCTTTGTGCATCATATTTTGTTAAAGTTACATATTTTACGGTTATAGTTGTTAGGCGAAACCTTAGTTTCGACTTTCGCCAAAAATTTTAAAAAAGAAACTGACGAAACATGGTTAAACTGGCGAAACATAGTAAAACTAGTGAAATGTAGCAAAATAGTGAAATATAGCAAAACAGAAAGAATGAAGAATTGAATAAATTTATGATATTATAAATAGCTGTAGCATTGCCCACAAAAAAATGTAGCTTACATCATAGTTAATCTGAAGCACAATAGCGCACGGAAATAATAAATTATTATTTAAAAAGCTTCATTTATTGGTTCTGAGTGACATAAGCTACATTTTTGGGGGGCGATGCTAGGGAATGATGATTTATAATTATTGTGCGGTTTCTTAAATGGTTTCATAAGCGATTCATAAGTGTATTATAGCTAAGGCAAGCAATCGACTAATAAAATACAATCGTACAGTTCAATTTTACCGCAATATTTACCGGAGATCATGCTTAAATTTTATTTTCAATAATCACCAAATAAAAAATATTCGCTTATGTGAAAAGTCAGAATTTTTAATAAAATATTGTACGTATTCTATCTGCTTTCAAGTATGTACATCTGAAAATGTAATGACTAATTTTGTTATTAAAAATTATGGAGCGTTATTAAAACTTTAAGCCTATGATATAAATAACTCATCCGTAAGATGGCTTTGTTTAGCTGGTTTCCCAGGGTTTAAGGGTTTTGCCAGGATTTTAACTTTCATCTTTTTTTTGGCTTAGGTTTTGTCTTTCGCCATTTGGAACCAGGTTTCGCCTAACATCATCAGTTACGGTTATGTTGTTACGATTAGGGTAGCTTTATAAGAACAGTAAATTCACTGGAATAGAATAATTGTCACTTTAATATGATATTTATCTAACTGCAAGAGAAAAAATGTGAAAGGTTACTGGCAATTTATTAGCCTTGAGTTCCTAGTAGGCATATAAATATGTCAATGCTATTGATATGGTGGTGTCCGTTTCACTGACAATCTGCAAAATCCCACCGGAAGGCCAGAGATTTCCCACTGGAAGGCAAATTGAACATCACTGCTCTATATATCCGGGTCTACAAAGGATAAAGCTTTGGTAAAATGTATGTTTATTCCACAGACAATTATTTCACCGACAGTCATTTCACCGACAAAGTAATTTTGGTCATTTTCATTAGGATCAGGTTTAGGTTAAATTGTTGGTGAAATGAACTGTCAGTGAAATAATTGTCGGCGAAATAACATGTCAGTGAATTGATTGTCGGTGAAATGATACATACGTAGTCATTTTTGCTGTAAAAGAACCCGGATAGTCTCTCGTTACAAATTTTAAATTTATTATTTATATACATTATATATAATATGTATATGAGTGCCGCCAAGGGAAAACCCATAATCGGGCTTTCAATATTCAGTTTGTTTTCTGTGTGCCGTCTAGGGAAGATCTATCATCGGGCTTTAAATTATATTTTGTCAAAATAAAATTGTAAGCCGATGATAGACTATTCCTAGATGGCATACAGAAAACAAACTGAACATTGAAAGCCCGATTGTGGGTTTTCCCTTGGCGGCACTCATATATATGATTTATTCCATTTATTTAAAATGTGATTTTATAGAGGGATAGTATATATGGATATATTTTTTATCTACGTTATATAATGTGATAGTGATTATATGCGATTTGTGATTATATAGGAGTATTTTTATATAAAATAAAATGGAGTCAAAATTTTATGTGATTATATAGGATTAGTGATTATAGAGGAGGTGATTATAGAGGAGGAAGACTGTAATATGATACAGTAAACGTGACAAATACAAGTTATATAAATAAAGTGACACACGGGTATGCTATGTTATTTATTTATTTAAATGTTCAGGGTTGTTCAATTTCTACATGTGAAAATAAACTTGTTTTCATAATACAAGAATTTTTGTGTCGCGATACATTTTATTAACATGTCGCTTTATAATTGGACCTATGTATGTATATTCCAGAATTAAGGGAAATGTGTGTTATGAATTGTTATACATAAAAAAGATTTTAAAAATTATTTTTTTTTAGTTGATTCTATCTAATAAGTTTTGGTTTTGCGTGAAGTAAATTTCTAGTCCCACTGTAATTACCGTAGTGCACTGACCAAAGTATCCCCCTTTTTGCGTACCCCCCATTTAAAATACCCGGGTATTTTGCATGGCATATTTTTTTTCCACCAAGCAAGATACCCGGGTATTTTATAATTCTTGAGGGTGGTGGTTTTATATAAGACCCGGGTATTTTGCATTGTGGCATTTATCTAATTGCATCCATCATTGGGGTGGGGCACGGACTAATTAAACAAAACTATGTAAGCTAACTATATAAATTATTATATTACAGATTTTTATATTACACGTGTAAATCAATTTTATCGTTATCGTTATATTAAATATTTATTAAAATCGGTCTACTTCAAAATTATTTAACTCATTAACAAAACATTTTATTACCTAGAAATTTTCATGTAAAGTATAGAAGAATAAAACTACGATTGCAGATTTTTTGTTAATATTCAGGTTCTAAGTATTCAATAAATATAAAGTATTAATCTTTATTAAAGATATAACTAATGTGAACTTTAATCGCATATCCAACAACACTTTGACGATTGGACTGCCCACCGTGATATTAATCAAGATATCTTTCAATCTGACTGGCAATCAGAATATAGTCCTAAAACAGATATCAATCCCAACTGGTACTCAAGCACCCTGTCCAACTTTACTCAGGAAGAAATCATCTCCACTATTAGCCAACTTCCTAATAACAAAGCTTGCGGCCCCTCTGGTATCAGCTATGAAATGATCAAACATGCTGGACCTTCTTTCATCTCAGCTATTACCTCTCTATTTAACCGCTGTCTTACCCTCCAATCTATACCCAAGCAATGGAAAGAAGGACGCATCTTTCCTATTGCCAAAAAACCTATCTTCGATGGCAATTTATCTAACACAAGACCTATTAGCCTGGTTGAACATATTCGTAAACTCTATACTAAACTTCTCACCAA